AGAAGGAGAAGACAAAACAAAGGAGAGGAAGGAAGAAAGGAAGGAAAGGGAGGAAGGAAGGAAGGGAGGAGAAGGAGAGAGGAAGGAAGGAGAAGAAGAGAAGAAGACAAAAAGCAGCGAGGAAGGAAGGAAAGGAGGAAAGGAGGGAGGGAGGGAGGAGAAGGAGAGAGGAAGGAAGAAGGAGAAGACAGAACAAAGGAGAGAGGAAGGAAGGAAGGAAAGAAGGAAGGAAGGAAGGAGGGAGGAAGGAAGGAAAGGGAGGGAGGGAGGGAGAAGGAGAGAGGAAGGAAGGAGAAGGAGAAGACAAAACAAAGGAGAGGAAGGAAGAAAGGAAGGAAAGGGAGGGAGGGAGGGAGGGAGGAGAAGGAGAGAGGAAGGAAGGAGAAGGAGAAGACAGAACAAAGGAGAGAGGAAGGAAGGAAGGAAGGAAGGAAGGAAAGGGAGGGAAGGAGGGAGGAGAAGGAGAGAGGAAGGAAGGAGAAGACAACAGAACAGGAGAGGAAGGAAAGAAGGAAGGAACAGTGTTGCTAGAGTCATTAAATCCCAACATTAGGAGGTCATTCACAACCATTTTAGGATCATCCACAACCATGAAACTTTGATCTTTTCTCTGTCCACCATTGTGGTGGGGAGAGGGGGCTGACGGGCAACTCAGACCTTCTTCTACCCATACTTGGTTCTCCACATCCATCCCCAACTGAAGGGGCGACTGTGCTCCATCTATCTCTTCCATCTTTCTTTGGACTTGTTCTGGTGGGACCAGGGAGATCTCACTCATTGTGCTTTTGTTTGTCTGTTTTAATAAGAGATGGGACGCCACACCTTCTGGGGATTCTGCCTCTTGGCCTGCTTGACTGTGGCCTCCTGGGTGGAAGGTAAGTGTCACCTGCTAGAAGATGTGCTTGACCAGTCCCACCATTGAGCCAGCAGAGTGGACACCTGCGGGGCCAAATATCAGCAGTTGGGGGACCGTTGGGAGAAGCTGGAAGCTGGAGCCCCGTCTACCTGCCCTCTTCTGCAGAGCTGGGTTGCTACCTCAGTGTCCCCTGAAGGAGGCCCAGCCAGAGCCATTTGGGGGCAAAGCTTCAAGGCCCCTTCCTCTTTAGCCTGGGCACCAGAGGAGGGTCTCCTGGGGAGATGTGTCTGGCTTTGGCAGCTGGGAAATTTCTTTCTGACTGTCCTGAAGGGTGGTAGAGGTGGTGATGGACTGGAACTCGGTCCCATTTGGTCTAAAGTTGGAGGGGCTGGAAGCAGATGTTCTCAAGAGGGTTCTATGTCTCCTTCAGCATTACCAAGCATCCAGGGCCGAGCCAAGTGTCCCGAAGAAGCCGTTTATTATCGACAGCAATGCTATCAGGCGGTTGATGTAGCCGTCACCTGGGACGCCTGCAGAGGTCAGTGTGCGACACACAGGAAAGTTTTGTCAGACCAGAATTACCCTTGATTGAGATTGGCTATCTATCTATCTATCTATCTATCTATCTATCTATCTATCTATCTATCTATCTATCTATCTATCTATCTATCTATCTATCTATCTATCATCTGTCTGTCTATCATCTAGCTATCTAGCTATCATCTATCTGTCTGTCTGTCTATCTATCTATCTATCTATCTATCTATCTATCTATCTATCTATCTATCTATCTATCTATCTATCTATCTATCTATCTATCTATCTATCACCTAGCTATCTATATATATCTGTCTATCTATCTATCTATCTATCTATCTGTCTGTCTGTCTGTCTGTCTGTCTGTCTGTCTGTCTGTCTGTCTATCTATCATCTATCTGTCTGTCTGTCTATCTATCATCTATCTATCTATCATCTAACTATCTATATGTCTGTCTGTCTGTCTGTCTGTCTGTCTGTCTGTCTGTCTGTCTGTCTATCTATCTATCTATCTATCTATCTATCTATCTATCTATCTATCTATCTATCCAGTGGTGGGATTCAGATAGGTGAACGACCATTTCTCTGTGTGGATGCCACTTCCGGAAGTCTGTTCTTATGCCCCCCAGATACTTCAGAGAATTAGGAAGGTATCTGTCGGAACTGTTTCCAAATATCATCATATTTCTCAGGATTTTTTAAAAAATGTCCCATTCCTTTTTTTGGGCTCAGCTTTCCTGCATCAGGTCATCTTCCTTATTCTACAGGTTTTGGCGTGACAATCTCCCACTCATCCTCTGGTTTTGCTAAAACCTGTGTTGTAAAATCTGTCAAAGGTGCTTTTTCCAAAGGACTTCCAACAGCTTCTTGAATGAGGAGAGAAATGTCTTCCTCCTCAAGGGAAAAGTGTGGCATTTTCAGCCTTGCCACATTAAGGTGGGTCACTCATGAATTCTGGCAAGCAACGACAAGCCAGAAAAGAAGACACACGCAGGAATCTCCTCGGGATGAGTGGACACAGAATGTGATCTGAGCCACCTATTTATTTTGTACATACATGAGGAAGTACAGGTGTCAATACATAATTGGTTACATTTTGTTGCAGGGTAGAATAAGTCCTAATGTAGCATCTTTAACATATGATTGGTTGTAGCTTTCTATAGGATGTGGTTAGTGCAGAAGCAGATTGCAAGCTTCTACTTGCCCCATTGCTATGCTAGCTTCCTGTTAACCGTTATTTTGTCAGGATGTGGTTGCCTCACTTACTGTCCTAGGCCTCTAGTACGCAAGCTGGCCACTGGCCTAGTTTTGCTATAGAAGCCTGAACTATAAAATCCCAACATCTCCTCTCTTTTTGTTTTTTAAAAGATGGTTGACTCTTCTTCTTGGGCGAATGGCCTGTCCTCCCTCCCCTCGGGCTCATGCTGTTCTTCCTCCTGCTCATCCATAGGCAACAGTGACTGTGTGATGAGGGTCTCTGCTTCGCTGTCTGAGCAAAATTGAGGATGTGAGTCCTTTATGGATTCTAGGTCATCCGTGGGGAGAGGAACGTATCCATGCCGTTCCCAGAGTGACATTACCT